TATCAGGTATTTTATTTTTACCTAAAAAGCAACATCCAAAAATAATAAGATTTTCAAGAATTCTTAAGGATCACATTGCAAGGTTTTAAATTTACTATTCAGAATAATTCCTTAGAACAATTTTTAAAATGTAGTATATAAAGTGTCTTTATTTTTTATATCATTGAGTTTACTCATGATCAGAAGAGGTAAAATATCTATAAAATGTAGAGGATTGCAAGAATCTATAGAGGTAGACTGTCTCTGCAGAAATTTTAACCATGTAACCTAGATCCTAAAATCAATGAAAGAAATAGAGACAATGAAAAGTTCAAGGAAGATAAATGAGTAATGAATTATCTCAACTTTTATTTGATTATTTTCATTTACAGTTCTGACACTGACACTTTTTTTAAAAGATTTTAATTTTATGTAAAGATTGAACTTCAATAAAATAACTTAAAAACATTTACATGTACATCACTAAATTTCCATAAAATATACGATACTTTTGATACAACATAGGCTAGAATGACTTTGAAGGCAATGGTACATATTCATCATTTTAAAGAGATATCCCATATGTCCAGTATGGGAATAAATATTTATACTGAATTTGCCAAGACATACGAAATATTAAATACTATAACATGCACTCAGAAATTAAAATATACATTTGAAATATATCTATTTTAAAAGCATAAAACTGTGTTTTAATTTAATCTAGATATACATTAGAGTTTCTAAATAGAAATTTCAACATTTATTATAAATAAAAGATGCTATAACATTAAGTAAGATATAGTCCAAAATCCTAGGAAAACAGTTTGGGCAGTTATAAATTTCTTTCTTGGCTAGCTATAAGTCTCATCTTTTTTAACCTTCAAATGAAATGGAATGATGTTAAATTTAATAAAATTGGAATACTTTACAAAATATTGATTTAAAAATTTTAATTATATGTAAGCTTCATGATCCAACACTTTTTCTCATTTATATAGATATGACAAAATCAAGCATGTAAATTTAATGGTCTAAACTAAAAATTTGAATATTAATGCTAAATGAAAGCATTTAAAATTTCCATAAATTAAATCATTCAAGTGCAATAGAATGCATTTTATACAAAATAAAAAATTATAGGAACTATACTGTTTTATGCTCACAAGCAAATGTGCATAAAATACTTTCATGTGCTTTTGAACACTCTTACAGAATACCTCAGTGATGAGTACTGGCACACAAAAATCTTCTATAAGAGACAATACACAAGAAAAAGTCGATAGTTATTAGCTGCTAGGCATTTTTAAATGATTGCTATTTCTAGAAAATAGTAGCAATATTGCTCACCTAGTAGAACTGAATAGACTGACAACTGATGCACTGGTAACACCCGAACCACTTCATCAAAGTAGCTTAACAGTCCCATACAAAGGTGAAGAAGACTGATAGAAAATGACCAAAAAAAAAGACATTAAGATGAATCCAGACAACAGTTCTTTTTATAGGCAGTAACTATATATGAGCTATACATTTTCTTTATTTAATACATTTTGCCATAAAGCACATAGTATGAATTTCTTCTTGTGGCTTGGTTTATCATCTCTTCTTTTATTCCTAGTTAGTGAAAAGATCTGAATTCAGTAAGTGAAAATTTGTCACAAAAAATGTATAAACATCAATTTTATACATTGATGTTAAATACCTACTATAATTTGATACTTTGTAATTTGGAAAATGCAAAAAAAATCTGATGTCTGATTCATTTTATTGTTCTTAATTATTTTTACATTGAAATAAAATCAAAACAATCCTCTCCCACTGTATTACAGTATTTATGATCTATATTAGTGTCATTAAATGTGAAACTTCATTTGATAACATAAGGAGAGTGTTTTATAGAGTATCCTTTTTTCCCCCCAGGATCCATAGATTAGTACATTTTTAATTTACTTAGCTATTTGTAAGAAAAAGGATAGACTGCCAATTTACATTTATCCTGACTGTTCTTCCCCTGGACAACTGATCATGAAATTACAATGAAAATTTCGAAACTCTTTGCTTTGTTTTAAAATGCTTTCCTATTCCTGAGTAAGTAACTTAAAAAAATAAATTTAGACTCTTATGTACTAAAATTTGTTCAGTGGTAAAATAAAGTGATAAAAAAGCTCTCTGTAGCATTACTCTCATACCATTCTTTTTTTTTTTTTTTAATCATGAAACCGACCACTGCAGAAGGCTGGGAACAAAATTTCAAACAGAAGCATTACATTTTATTTGGGGAAAAAGTCACCTAGTGAGTTAAATATAGTTTTACTTTAGATCTTCAGTATACATACTAAAAATAATCATGTTTTGAAAAACTGAGTAAGTTAGGTACAACAACTAGTATACTTAGGAATGTTTATACTGAAGCAAAATATTAACACCAAATTTTAAAAATCTATGTGACATCACATTCAATTTTATGTGTTCAAAAGCAGCCAAAATGTTATATTCACTTAAGTCTAGCATAGATTTCATCAGCGATCTAGCTAAGCCTTTACAGGGATATGACCATCTTCACTGTATTTTTCTAAAGCATAACATACCTCTATTGAAGTTGCAGCATGTTTAGAAGGAAACCTCTAAGTAATTAATCTGTGTCTGTTTAGTATGGTGTGTTAAATCATAACATATATAAACTGTTCCACAAAATACATACATGACGATATTTCAAATGGAATGTTCTTAAGTTGATAGTGCTAGCCAAAGATGTTTAAGAACTTAAAGGTGCACAATAGTAAAACAATTAATTTCAAAATTCAAATGTTTGATTTTTATTATACTATAAATGTTCACTGAATCTAGCAATGATACTCTAATTATATAGGGTTCCCTTTCAAATATTTATTAGTTTTGAAAAAATTATAAATAATTCTTATACTATGCCTCTCTTATACTTCAAAGATATGGAATATTATCTTTATTACTATATAAATAACATATGGTCCATTAAAGAAGGGGCTAAGTGGGATAGGGAAAAACTGGATAATTTTCCCTATTTTTATGTGGATTTATGGATATAAAATTGAAAACATCATTTTCTAATGTCAGAGAGAACAGTCCCTGTTCTGCTTTAAGAAATATTGAGTCTATATGCTCCTTTAATCAAGTAAATTGTGCATTCAGCCCAGCTGATTAGATAATCATATAGTTAAGGCTATGTATATAATAAAGAGAAGAACTGCATAAATCAGAAAAATAAACTTTGAAGACAGTACTTTATTGGTCTAAATACTTTTTCTCCCCATTATATTCTGATTTTACCATATAACACCTCATTTTCCATATACTTTGCCTATGTAAAATATTACACAAGTAAGTTTCTCATAGCATAAAAAAAATCAATAGAATAATAATTTCTCTATTAGAGCAATCTTTTTTTTTTTTTTAAAGGGAAAAATCAGTATTAATATCCCCTTAGAAATCAACTGTCAAAGCACTTAATTGAAGGGGGGAAGACAACTTTATAATACTATTTTTACTACATGAAATGACCAAAGGGAGAAAGCTTTTCTTTTTTTTTTTTGGCTGAAGGACTTTTAGTCCAGTGGAGTGACTATTCAAGCACATATCACACTTCCCGTGGCTTAAAGAATAAACCTTGTAGGCTAAATTCTCAGCTTTGATAATTGTCATAGGAACACATATGACTGTAAAAAGAGAGCAAATCATCTTGGAGACTGGTAGAAACAAATAGAATTTAGAGATAATCACTTTTTCACTCCAAATGGTACCTCATTAGAGCCATATTAAAATGCATTAAACTTAGGCATTCATAACTGGCCACAAAAGATTCATATTTTCAGTGGAACTAGTTAGTAAATAATTTTGTACATATTATATAGTTCTTATTATGAGAGCAAAAATTAGAGTTCAGAGATAAATGCGCATAAAAATTAACAAAAAGCAGCTCCTCCTTGGGTTTCTGAGGGTGTCTGTCTACGGAAGTAGATTGCCCAGTCTTCCTTCTGAGGAGTGGCTGGTGGGTTTGACCCGCCAGTCTTCTGGGAAGCAGTCAAATGCCTTAGGCACAATGCTGCCAGAGCGCCCATAAAAACTAACAAACGTTTGAAAAGACATTGTAGAAATTTAGTTAAGTCCACATTTTTTAAGATGTATGCTATAGTATTAGAACCATTCATGTCCAATAAAAAGACCCAGATTTTAGACAAGGAAGAAACAAACACCAAGCCAAACATGAGAAAAATAAAAACAAATCCCTCTTTTTTTTTTCCTTTTCTAAGTTGTCAGGGAAAAAGAGAAGTATGCAAAAGAAAAACTAGTTTATGATCTTATATTAAAAAAAGACAGGTACTTCTAAGTAATAAAATGTGATAATTCCTTTATGAGGAGTTTAATACAAAGTTAAGAAAAAATAAGTCCCACTATTAATTACATGAACAGAGATAAAAGCAGGATTATTTCTGCCATAAATTGCTATCGTTTCTTTTTTTGTTTCAGAAATTACTGTTTGAGTAAAAGAAAGAGAAAAATAATCTGCTAGTAGCTATTTATGTAACACAAATGAAGGCACAAATAGTAGGACTTCCAAGTCAAAGAGCAAAAAGGCATGGTGATTACCAGGTGATTTGTGCATGGACAAAAACTAGCCCTGAAATACCACTGAAAATCTGGAGCTATTTTGTGTTTACAACTGTGTACCTAAATATCAATCCAGGATCCATAAAAGTGTTTTGTTTCTCACTTTCTGGCAATAAAATCTACTTATCAAAACTTGCTACCACTTATCATTGATGTAAAAACACATATGAAAATAACCCCTAAAAGATCTGCTCATGATAAAGATCAAAAGATCATGTGCAAAATCAGTCTCTGAACTCTCATGAACTCTCAAGATCTGAACTGGAGAGAGAAACCAAAATGTGGACTCCAAAGGAGATAAGGACAGCTGTATTCTTATAGATGGTACTTTTGAATGTGCTGACAAAAACTTAAACGGAATTTACTTTCTACAGCTGTTCACGGGCTACTCCTGCTTAGGAAAGTTTAAGGTCAGTAGGCTATGTTTTGACATAAAATATCCTTGGACCTTATCCAAGAATCCTTCTTTATAAGTATGTCATATATATGTAATTCAGCTAGTTTAGTACTGACTCTATTGCCATTAATAATTAATTATAATATGGTCTTAAGTAAAAAGGATACTACTGAAGTCACTGGGTACAATATTCATTTTAGACTATCTCAGGAAGGAATTACACATAATTATTTAAGAATTAACAGTTAAAATCTCTAGAAATATATATATTTTTTACACTTCTGCTTATGGGAAAAAAAATGTCATCACAATTGTATCCTCCTCCTAATCAAGTACTCTAGAACATGAAGTCATTCAAAACTAGACTGTGGAAAGAACCAGATTAGAAGTAGGGCAGTGAGGTCACCGATTGCTGCTCTTCTTCCCCCAAGTTTGTTTAAATAACTAAATATATCAGCAGCTGAATATTATTCCACATCAGAAGCATCATTGTCAGAAAGATGATAGTTACTTCCTTTTACCCGAATATATTCAATATATCTCCCTTCATCAGAATCTGAAGTGCCACATGTACATAGCCTGTTGTCAAAGAGTGATTCAATTTCCTCTAATTTTTTTCCTTTGGTCTCAGGAAGACAGCCATAGATGAAAAGGAGTCCAATAGCAGCAAGTCCAGCATAGAGGAAGAAAGCTCCTGCAATTAAAAATAATCTGTGTGTATATAGATGTATATATAGATGTATATATATGTATATATAGATGTATATATATGCCTGGGTTGAACAGAGTACTTGATTTTGACTTTTCTTTCTGATCAATTGTGAATAACCAATGTAAGATATGACACAAAATATTACTTCCAGTCTAGTTTACTTGAATAGTTCTAACTGTAGGAATACAATACAATTTAAGTTTCTAAATTTAAGGCATGTAATGCCAAACTCAAGAAGAACAGATGGAGCTTGGATGTAACTTTTGGCTTGATGCCTTTCTTCTCTTCCCTAGCCAGAGGTACTTGCTCTTTCTTATGTGTTTTCATAGTACTTTATTGAGACCCCTATCATAATAACCAAGAAGTATTATATTTATATGCATGTTATGTGTGTCTTGCCCCAAACTGTAGGCACTTTGAGGCCAGAAGGAATTTCTTTCTTATTTATCTTATACTTCTAGAACTAAGTACAATGGATGACATTCCTGAATTAATGACTCAATGAAATAAAATGGCAACTCCATCCTTCTAATTTCTCAGGCCAAAATTTCTCAGGCCAAAAACCTATGTTGATTCTTCTCTTACTCTTATACCCAACATCCAACCTGTTAGAAACTCCTAGTAGAGTTACTTTCAAAATATAACCCAGAGGTGACCACTTCTTACCATATCCACTGATACTGCAGTCTGAGAATTATCACTTCTCATCTGTACTACTGCTATAGTCTCCTAACTGGTGCCCTTGGTCCTTCTCTTGGTCCATCTTTTTTTCTTCATAGCACTTACCACCATCTGACATACTATAAACTTACTGATTTGTTTATTTTCTCTTTCCCTTTACTAGAATGTAAGCTCCCTTAGGTTTTGCTATAAGATTATAGATGACAATACGTTATAGCCACAAAGACATAAATACTTGGTTATGTTTCCTAGGTCTCAGTACAACAAGCCTAGATGAATGAGATAAATACATATGTTACTTTTGTGTATTCTTCATATAGTGCAAAATGGCTTTTCCTTTATAATCTCTTTCCCAACTTAAAAATACTTTTACTTTTGATCATGGAGAATAACTATCATGGAGTCCCTCCCTAACTTTAGGCCTTCAGTCCTGACCATCCTCCCTATATGAGATAACAAACAGAATAAAGATATTAGATGTGGGAGTTGGAAGATTTGGGTTTAGGACTTCGCTATGTGACTTCTGGGAGCTCTGGAAGCATAGTGCCTAAGGCACTTGACTGCTAAACCAGAAGGCTGGCAGTTCAAACCCATCAGCCACTCCTCAGAAGGAAGGCTGGGCAATCTACTTCCATAGTGATACTGCCTCAGACACCCAAGGAGGGTTGCTATATGTTGGATCTGATCCGATGGCAATGGGTTATGTGACTTCTAGATAGTCATTTAGCCTCCTCTCTGGGTTTGGTTTTCTCATAAGTAAATATAAGATGGCTTTTCAGCCTTTTTTTTTAAAGTTCTGGCACTTTGACTCTATAAATCTTACATCCAAAATAGGGAGCAGGTATACAAGAGATGGTGATAAGAGAACAGGGAGAGCTGCTCTTCTGTTTCTATGCGCAGTACAGTGGAGGCTCTAGAGAATGAATGTGTTCTTGTTGATTGCCAGATGATACACTCTCTGGGTAGCAGATCTAAAATAAAGGGCTAAACCAGACAATACAAAGACATGTATCAAAAGCAAACTTTAAGCTGAATAAGCACAGCAGCTGAAGAAATGAATAACATCTCTCACTTCTGCTGAATCTTCACAGCAAGAAAAAGATATTATCAAGACAACTTTCTTGTAGACATGCCTATTAAGTAACAATTTCAGGAACAACCATAGAAGCATTTCTTGGGAGGGCTCAAGGCAAACTATGGAGGACAATGCTGCAGAACTGGTTACTCAAAAGAATCTATGCCCTGTGGAATGAGGAGCCATCAGAAAAAAGAATAGAAACAGAGATAAATTATGGGATGTAAGAAAAACATGAAAGAGTCAAATAATTAAGACATGCTTTATTAGATTAAGTCATCAAAAGCCATACAACGCTTAAGGAGTTGCCCTTGTATAAAGGAAATTCTCTGCTTAATAAAGGAGTCCTTGTGGTGCAGTGGTTAAAGTGCTCAACTGCTAAGCAAAAGGTTGGCTGTTTGAACCCACTAGCCATTCCATGACAGAAAGATGTAGCAGTCTGCCTCTGTAAAGATTACAGCCTTGGAAACTCCATGGGGCAGTTCTACTTTGTCCTAAAAGGTTGCTATGAATTGGAGTTGACTTGATAGCAATGGGTTTGTTTGGTTTGGTTTGTTTCTTAAAACTGTAACTCCATTTACAAATATCAGGTTCCTTTACTTCATTTCAGTTTTCACTGAACACTTATGCAAGCTTGTATTTTTCTTATAGGTGAAATCAAACTAAATTTAGAGGATTTCTGCCATCATAGAGTTTATAAAATCACAGAACAGACAAAATACATGCTTGGGAAATACTTAAAAAATAATACTAGGTCATCTGGGATCATGGGGAGTGGTGCAGTGAGAAGCAGCTCGCTGGCTCTGTAGAGAATGTACACCTGAAAGTCATCTAGTGACCCAGGCTAAATCTGTGGGCAACATTTCTTGACCTGTCTCCAGTCTATGTAAGGGAGAAGATAATTCCTACTTTGGTAAACTGAAAATAATAGAAATAATGTATGTTACATGCCTAATAGCATGTTAGTTGCATAAAATGGTGATAAGCAGCATTGTTACATTCTGGGGAAGAAGAGAGATGGACCAGAACAAGATTAGTGTAACTAATAAACTGGGAATGCTTTCATGAAAAGAGTGATACTGACAAGCTAGGTCTTAGGAATGTGGGAATTCTGGAGGAAAAAAATGGAAAGGATCTGTTTTCTGAGTACACATAAGCAAAACTATGGAGGCAGAAATGGAATATTAGGGCAATAAAGGGATGGTAAAGGTTATGATGTGATAAAACAGAAAATATATGTAGATGGTAAAACATTTTAGACTAAAGCAAGTTGTTAAACTATAACATCTAACAGAGCAAACTGTGGCTTCATAAAATATAATATTAAAGAAACATTCATAATTTTCACAGTTAAGAAACATAAACAGGTGCATGATTAGAGGTAAGGAGTCAAATATGTCAGTCCTGAACATCACAGCTAAGGATAGGAGCATTAGAGTTTTTTTTTTTTTTTTAAAAAGATAGATTAGGAAGATTTTTAAAGGCTACACAGCTTCTTGTGTATGACCCACATTCTCAAAGCTAAAATAATAACAAGGAAGGTCTATTAAAATACAAGACCCTTTTATAAAATCAGAGGAATTTCAAACAGGCAAATGCCATAACCACCTGCTAAATGTGGGTTCCACTAGTGAGACCTATGGTTAAATCAGAGAGGCATGTGGGCAGGCCCGTGAGGCTTAGATCTGCTTCATGTCATGAGCAAGTCAATAATGTTCTCAATTTTTCTCTCTTGGAGTTGAAATGAAAGAAAGAAAAAAAGCCTGTAATCAGTTTGTCATGACTATTAAACAGAGTAAATATTCCTCAACTTTAGTATGAAGGAAATAAATCTTATTAAAAGCTATATTAAGTTTCAGATTAAAACAAATATTTAATTAAGTCATTTGGAGTTGAAATGAAAGAAAGAAAGAAAGAAAAAAAAAAGCCTGTAATCAGTTTGTCAGGATTGTTAAACAGTGTAAATATTCCTCAATTTTAGTATGAAGGAAATAAATCTTATTAAAACCTATATTAAGTTTCAAATTAAAACAAATATTTAATTAAGTCATACAAATTGAGGAGTCAAAGGCTATGTCTGATTGAACTTCAATGCCTCAACACAAGAACTTTGATATAATGCCTTTGAAGGGATCTATTTAGCCACACATGCTATAGATGAAATGGTATGATATTTCAGTGACATTTTAATGATAATTTTAGTGGTAAACATTACTGAATGGGTCCAAGGCAGATCTGCTCAAACTGATGGTTTTTGAAGGAACCAAAATTTAAGATTCTATAAAACAATTAAATAAAAGGAGGAAATACCAGGAGATCTGGATATTTCCAGAAAATACACCATTAGGGTGTAAATGTGTTCAATGAGGAATATAAGCACATAAATTTACATAAATCACTTACATGTAGATTAAAATACAAGAAAAAACAAATCTAAACATAAGCATTCTTCTAGTACTAGGGTGCCGTGACTACTAGACTTAATGGGCTAGTATGTTGGCACTTGACTGCTAACCAGAAGGCTGGCGGTTCAAACCCACCAGCCACTCCTCAGAAGGAAGGTTGGGCAATCCTACTTCCGTAGTGATACTGCCTCAGAAACCCAAGGAGGGGTCGCTACGAGTCGGGGCTAACTCCATGGCAAATAACAACAACAACAACATGTTGACATGACAAAAACTTTAATGCAAAGGATAAAGCTTCTTCTAACCAAATATTTTTGAAAGAAGCCTACTAAAATTTCACTTTAACTGCCTCATGTCTTTTGGGCAGCATACATTTGAAAAGAGGAGCTTTGTTATCAGAAGTCTTACTACATAGACTTTTACTATTTGGTCTATGATTTTCTGTAAAATGCTTTCTCAATATGCTAGTCTGTATTTAGGTCATCAAATATTTAAGTGTTCTCAAGAATCTGAAAATATGACTAAATATTTACTGTGTTCATATTTATAAATTTATGTAAAATTTTTAAATTGCCAAATGAGATAAATGTTACTATACTCAAAAACCAAGCCCACTGCCATTGAGTTAATTCTGACTCATAGCAACCACATAGGACAAAATAAATCTGCCTCATAGGGTTTCCATGACTGTAATCTTGATGGAGGCAGACTGCCACATCTTTCTGCTGCACAGCAGCTGGTGGGTTCAAACTTCCAATCTCTTGGTTAGCAGCCACACATTTAACCACTGCACCACCAGTGCTTCTTAAAGCTTAATATAC